TACGTAATTTTTATATCTAATTTTATTTATTATATATAAAGATAAAATCTATGTAAATTTTATTTATATCTATACAAAAATAATTTAATTTACTTCAGTTATTTCTCAAAAGTGACTAAGGTAATCACCGATCATTGCGCTAAGTAAAAATGTTCAACACGCTCGAAAGCCTTCCCCAAACCCCTAATTTAAACCTTAAAATCTAATCCTAGCTTTAATATTTAAGTTAAATATTTTTCGCTATTTTACATAATCGTAAAGCTACATAAAAATTTTACATAATTCTACGTAATTTTATATAAAAACAACTTCGTGATGAGATGATATAAAATCAATTAATAATTTTAAGCATTTTCATTCAAAAAGGTACTCTATGAATCGTAATCGCGATAAAGAAATCTGGGATTCAGGTGTGATGGCAATGGAAAATATTTATGAAGTCTTGCAAGATCCAATGAGTACCAAATTCTTGACATACGAAGATATTCAAAAAGGGCGTGCAGTCCGAATCCATATTACATATATTCTTGGACTCACTTACGAGGTAGATCAAGATAACAAAAAAGCTCTTGAATATTTCAAAATGTGTAAAAATTGTGGGGAAAGTGGCTTCACTGTAGCAAGGAAACTAGTCACTGAAGCACAATTAAAGATTAAAAGTTTGGAGACCAAAATACATCGAATTAAACCAATCTGTAGTACTTGTGATCATAAACCGGAGAATTTGAACGAATTGAGGTTACTCCAAGTGTGCCCGAAATGCAAATCTACTTATTGCTCGAAATGTTTTTGTCAGCATAGATTTGAACATGAATAAAGCATTTATTTATTATCAAAAGTCTGTAGATATGAATAATGCTAATAGAATAAACACTCTTGGTGATTACAAAAATGGAAAATAATAAACATAAGGCATTTATCAAAAATATTAAATTTTGATCGATTTTCTTTACTATATGTGTGTGAAAGGTTCCAACCCGATTTCCTTTTTATGTTATTTCTCTTTACGGTAGGCTCAACATAGATATATTAGTTACGTAGTACATATTGGTGCTAACCCAAAATCATGAAGGAAAAAGAAATCATTACCGTAAATAGTAAATTGATCCGAATATACGTACGTACGTACGCATAACGAATGTACTATGTAAATCAAATCAATTAGTGGAAATTTTCATGTAACATTCATAATAAAATACTGCGAACCAGCATAATTTCGATAAAATCCAAGTATTTTTATTATTTTTCTGGTTATGAAAAAAAGTTCACCATTTCATTAAAATATGCTATTCACTATGCTTTCATATGAAATTTCGAAATAGATTAATATGTAGAATGTCGAGAAGATATATGGCAATTTTTTATAAAAAATTGCAAATTTCTAATTGTATCTCGAAACTCTACATAATAAATTATTTAGAAATTTTGCGTGAAAGCATAATGGATGATGAAATGGAGAGCTTTTTTTCATAACCCGAAAAATTATTAAATTTTTATCGAAATTATACTTTCACCGCAGAATTTTATTTTTGACGTGATTATTATTATATATAATAAGCTATCTAAATTTAATTTAAATTTAAAAAATTTTATTAATTAAATTTTTTTAAAGAAAAGTTGTAAATTTTTATGTTTTAATTTTAATTTTAAAATTTCTTAATATCAAATTAGTTTATCTTAAATAATATTTTAAAAAAGGCAATTTCTATTTGTACACGGGTGTATATACACGGGCAATATAGAACCCAACCGATATCTCAAAATTTTGATTAT